AAAAATAACAACACTTTGTCAGGACCATGAGGCGATCATTCCTACCAACTTTCAGTTCAATCGGTCCAGCAGAACTTGACTTTAAGTTTGAAATAGGTTTTCAAAATGGCGGCCGTGGCGGCCATATTGGATTTCTGATCGACCCGAAAAATAACAACACTTTGTCAGGACCATGAGGCGATCATTCCTACCAACTTTCAGTTCAATCGGTCCAGCAGAACTTGACTTTAAGTTTGAAATAGGTTTTCAAAATGGCGGCCGTGGCGGCCATATTGGATTTCTGATCGACCCGAAAAATAACAACACTTTGTCAGGACCATGAGGCGATCATTCCTACCAACTTTCAGTTCAATCGGCCCAGCAGAACTTGACTTTAAGTTTGAAATGTAAAATGTTAACGGACGACGGACGACGACGGACGAAAACGGATAGCAATAGGTCACTTGAGCTAAAGCTCAGGTGACCTAAAAATGTACAGGTATGCATAAAATGGCTTGTTTGACATATTAATGAGTTTTCAATTGATCAGGAATATAATCTTGTATCTTAGAAACACTGACTTCATTCTCTAGAAAAAACCACATCATCCACTGTAACTATGAACCTTAGTTGACCTCTCACCTGACTGGTAGGATTGTCCTCGTCCTGTTCCACCCACATGCGAGGGACATGAGCCTCAGCCAACTCCAAGAGAAGCTGGAAACCCTCCCCGAGAGTTTGTCCTGGCTCTATCAACATCATAGCCTGAGACCCTTTAGGCTGAAAAAAACCCAAAAACAACGTAATTCACAATACAGCTGATGAATATAAATGTTGAACTGAAGGTAATATTTACTGATGCTCAGTATAACCAACTCAATTAAGAGAACTAACCAGTACAGTAGAATACAACGTTTCTGACCGACACAAAATACTACTCATGATTACAACGATAATGTGTTTCCTTGTAAGAATTTGTCTCGGCTTAAACTCTGAATTTGTAATCAAATTTTGGAAATCACAATTTTTTAGATTCACTGTACAGCCCATTCTAGTAAAAACTAGAGCCGTCACCGAGGGGGGGGGGGGTGTGACAAGTATACCCCCACATACACGTAAATTGTATAATGACAATGGAAATGTCATTCTCTGTATTCTCATTTTTTTTTTTTATGCCATTGCTTTTTAAGTTTTTGGGATGGGTTACCTGACCTATCAATTTTATTTCTCTTGCCGAGAACACATTTTCCCCGCCATTTTTGAGCTAAAGAAGGAGGAAGTGTGATCAGTCACATATACGCTTCCGTTTCTTAGCATATTCAAATCACCAAGAAGACTCAATCAGTATATTATAATAAAACAATGCGGAAACGGGCAGAAATTTCCAGAATCGGCAGAATTAAGACAAAATCATACAGTGAGTAGGTAAAATTGTAAGGCATATTTTTTATGTTAAAAATCAAAAGGATTAGGCACCTCTGCATGGTACAACACTACACAAAAAGTCTCAAAGAAATTTATTGAAAAATGAGCAAATGCAAGAGCACAACTGTCTTAAACAGGTCTGAAACGCAAAGTTCTTTCATGGGGGCATAACTACATATGGAACTGTCACTACACAAAAACTTAAAAAGAAATCTATTGAAAAATGAGTGAATGCATAGCCAGACAAATTTTGTCTACGGACGGATGGACGGACAGACGGACAATCTTATTCCAGTTTACCCCCCAACTTCGTTGTGGGTGGGTATAATGACTCTATTACAGACTGTTAAACAACCAAATAACCCTATAGATGGTGCCAAATGTGGCGCATAGGACACAAAAAAGTCAAACCTTTGTTTTTTGCACTTTTCTTGGTTGACCATCATCATCAAAGTCCTGCAAACAAATGTTTACACATCAATCACATACAGGTTATCATTATAAAGTAACTCAATATTTATAGTACATTTCAGTATAGTAGTTGCTCATTTTTAAGAGAGATTTATTTATTTTTAATAAATAAAGCAGAACATATCAAACCAAACCGACCATTTTGTATCATTTTTCTATTCTGATCTACAGGTACTAACAAAACGAAAACACTACACGTATGCTCTGGTTATAATTTCTTTATGAAATTTGATACAGCACCTTTAATTACTGTGTGTTCACTGTCAAATCCATTTCTCTTTAACTACAATTTGTAAAGTAAAACGTGATATTGTGGATCTCTTCAGAAACTAAAAGCAGTGTTTTCACAAGAATTTAATTCATCACCAAACATTGGCATGATTGCTATTTCTTCTTATACAATCGGCACAATTTCTTAAAACAAATTGCAGTCATACACTGTAATACAGTCTTGAATGTCAGAATAAGATGAACAAATAAGTTTATTTTATATACATACCACAATTACAATTTTGTGGGTTGGGCTATGGATGTTTCTTAGGTCAAAGGGCATGTCAATAGCTACTGCAACACAGCACTCTAAATCCTTATAAGTAGGAAAAGAAAATATAGACCATTTAATCAACCTAAGTATAGCATCTATTAAAACCTTAATTGCCCATAAAATCATGACTACATACTTATAAATCCAGTCCCTTGTCACGACATACATACTGGCATGTTATAACACCAATTAATGTAAACATCTTGTGATATTTTATCCTCACAGTTTTAATCAATGAATGGTATTTATATCTGTGATATATTTAAAGAAAATTTTAGTAAATGTTTGATGTAGCTTTATTATTACCTTGTTGTCTTGCGAGCTCTCTTTCCACGGTGCTAGGTTACCCGGGAGACGGAAGCTGACAAGGTCACCTTCCACCTGTAATTCTGTGACGTAGGTAATCTTGATGATAACATCTGCTCTGGGAGGAACATTTCCTACACTTACTGTAAACACATCCTGTAAATAGGATATCGGAACTCAAGATTATAAATAACAAGACAATTTGGCGAATTATAGTCCCCCACCGAATGTGGAATGCACAGATGATAAATTTGTGCAGGAACTAATTCTATACATGAATGTTTGACAGACCCACCGTATTCAATAAGGAATAGTGTCAGTGCTACTATTGCAAATAAATCTGGTGGATGTTTACTGGTTAGTGGTACCATTTTACTATTAAATTGCATCTGGTGACACTATGTATGCTTCTTCTTCAATGCAGGTGCACCTGTGCCCCAAGCAAGAAGTTCCAGTGACAAGTAGTGTAGGAGAAAGAGCTCGGACAAACTTTTTCTTTGATGCAGGTCAAAGGTCAAAAACAGAGTGACCTACTTTGATATACGACACACCGCCTCACCAAGGTGAACCCATACTCCAAGTATAATGTTCCAGTGACTAGTAGTGTATGAGATAGAGCCCAGACAAACTTTATCTTTGATGCAGGTCAAAGATCAAAACGTAGGTCAGAGTGACCTACTTTTAATACACGACACACCGCCTCACCAAGGTGAACCCATACACCAAGTATGAAGTTCCAGTGACTAGTAGTGTAGGAGATAGAGCCTGGACAAACTTTTTCTTTGATGTAGGTTAAAGGTCAAAATGCAGGTCAGAGTGACCTACTTTTGATACACGACACTACGTCTCACCAAGGTGAAACCATACCCGAAGTATAAAGTTCCAGTGACAAGTAGTCCCGGTGGATGACTAATAAACAGTTTAACATGAAGAGTGGTGTGGACACCCATGCACACAAGACTTCAATTTCTGATCCATCAATGTAATCATATTTCTTACTGGTTTTCTTCATTTCTTCATAATGTTTTGAACTCCTGTGTCATATACCTGTGTGCAGATAATGCATAGTGGTTATGTTCACAAGAGTGATACTTTCACTAAATTCACAGGGTGATATGTAATTGAGAATGTTTGGATCGTGTAATAATATGACACATGTATGTCATATGGGATATAAAATGCAGTGAAGTGCACTATTACTACTATAGTGGTATCATCATGTATAGAAGCTGTTTCAAATGGCCTGGAGTGTGGATGATTTTTTGGAATAGATTGTATACCTTATGACTGTAATAGTAAAACATTGAGATCAGTTTACCGACGGTACAGGTGACAGATTGGTATCTATAAATAAAGCAAGATAACAGTTCTACAGTGTAGACTGATTGCCGTCATACTTAACTGAACATTCTAATATACAATTAAAAGCCAACACTGGGGGCAATAACCACACACATTTATTTTCTTCTGAAATTCAAATCTGTGTATATTGGCTCATTTAGTGGGAAAACCATAAAAAAACTTAATCTGCATTAATAACCGGCTATACAGTAAACCCCATGTAAGAAATTTAAAGAGCTATGTCTAGAATAAGAAATTGAAAGAGCTATGTCTAGAATAAGAAATTGAAAGAGCTATGTCTAGAATAAGAAAGTTAAAGAGCTATGTCTAGGATAAGAAAGTTAAAGAGCTATGTCTAGAATAAGAAAGTTAAAGAGCTCTGTCTATAATAAGAAAGTTAAAGAACTAGGTCTAGAATAAGAAAGTTAAAGAGCTATGTCTAGAATAAGAAAGTTAAAGAGCTATGTCTAGAATAAAAAGTTAAAGAGCTAGCTATGTCTAAAATAAGAAAGTTAAAGAGCTATGTTTAGAATAAGAAAGTTAAAGAGCTATGTCTAGAATAAGAAAGTTAAAGAACTAGGTCTAGAATAAGAAAGTTAAAGAGCTATGTCTAGAATAAGAAATTTTAATTGTTGAAGTCTTGGTTTTTACCTCAATACAAAATAAACCCTAGGTGGTATTTTCTGATTCTACATTTTACATAAACAAAAGAGTTTTAACAATTCTTTCGTAAGTTGTAAATACTGCCCTCTTATAAACATTTGATTTCACTTTAAAAAATATCTTAATAAAATGCAAGTAATAATAACTTCTAGAATGCCTGGATGTCAAGTACTCTGTCAGGGATAAAAAGAGCACACTTTTGCCAAATTTTGTCAATGAAAAGTCTATTGCCACTACTGTAGAAATGTACCGGTGCCTCTTCGTCCTGGTCCATGAGGTAGGCCCCGTGTCCCTCACTGATGGCCTTCTTATACTCTTTGTGAGCCGTCTCTTTCTCCTTCACCTCCCCCACCACATGTTTGTCATTGATGTACGCTTCAAACCCACACACTGCCGCCATCTCATCAAGGGGAAACACATACTTTCCCTCCAACATTTCGTCACTGTTGTTGTGGTACTGTTGTAAGACCTTCACCTGAAAATGTCAAGTTAACATTCCATATCAAAGCTTTTGTTATATTTATGTAATACCGGTACATTGTATTACCATCCTCAAGAAATAGCCAAGTCACAATCGAACATCTTGGTTTTTGCAACCTTCAACTAAATAACTAATAAATTTTGAATGATTTAGAACAATGGAGAGGGGTGGGACTTAAATTAATGATGAGACAAGAGGGGGTGAGACTCAAATTAATGATGAGACAAGAGGGGGTGAGACTCAAATTAATGATGAGACAAGAGGGGGTGGGACTCAAATTAATGATGAGACAGGAGGAGGTGGGACTCAAATTATTGATGAGACGAGAGGGGTTGGGACTCAAATTAATGATGAGACGAGAGGAGGTGGGACTCAAATTATTGATGAGACGAGAGGAGGTGGGACTCAAATTATTGATGAGACGAGAGGGGTTGGGACTCAAATTAATGATGAGACGAGAGGAGGTGGGACTCAAATTATTGATGAGACGAGAGG